AGCCACATGGAACAACAAGTACTTGAAGATTTTTTCACATGGGTGAATGAGAAATATGGTGGCTTAAAAGAGGTCACATGTACTAGAGGTAAAGTTCATACTTATTTGGGTATGACATTGGATTTTTGAAGAAAGGAAAAATGAAAATTTGCATGGATGATTATGTGGATTGGCATGCTGAGTGAGTTTCCAGTCAAGTTTAAGGAAAATGAGGTCCAGGAGACACCAGCCGGAAATAATCTACTGGAGAAAGGTAAAGGGGCACCGCTTGAGAAGGAACGACATGAGGTGTTCCATTCGTTTGTTGCCAAATCGTTATTTTTGTCCAAACGTGCTCGTCTGGACATCAGTCCGACAGTATCGATTTTAGCATCAAGGGTGCAATCTCCGAATCTGAGTGATTGGCATAAACTAGTTCAATTGATGAGATACATTCATTCTACAAAAGGATGGCATCTGACATTGAGCGCCGATGATTTGCGCGTGATTAAATGGTATGTCGATGCATCATTTGCTGTTCATCCAGACTTCAAAAGTCATACTGGGGCTGTGATGACAATGGGCACTGGAGCAGTGCAAGCAATTACACAAAAGCAGAAATTGAATTGTGACAGCAGTACACATGCTGAACTAATTGGAGTCCATGATGCAATGTCAAATATTTTATGGACCCGCTTGTTTATGGAAGAACAAGGTTACCCAATCGAGAAGAATATACTATACCAAGATAACAAGAGTTCGATCCTCCTTGAAATGAATGGGAGATCGAGCACCGGAAAAAGGAGCCGTGCGCTAAACATCCGGTATTTCTTTGTGACAGATCAAGTCGAATTGGGCAACATTACTATTGAACACATGCCAACTAATGAAATGTGTATAGAAAAAATTATTTCAGAAACGAAACAACACGCATTCCGGCAGAACCAACCAGTCTGCCTCGCGTAGCGCTAGTACTGAATTTACGTAGAAAACTTCGAATATATCACCAAGCCAACCATTCAACACCGGCGCACCATGGGCAAATCTATCAACGCAAAGGCATCCTCGGCGATGACAAAAAAGTCGGGCGTGTCTAAGATGTATACGACCTCTGTGGCTAAAAAGTCCGTCAAGAAACGAGTGGAAATTGACCTACACCAGCCTAAAGACAGGGATCCCATCGATTCCAAGATGGTGTCTGCAACCCAAACTGATGAGAAGCGTGTTATCGACGATAATGAAGCGCAACGCATGGTTGATGAGATTGAGGCGACATGAATCGCCGAACGAGAAGCTCGCAGGAGTGGACATTACAACAGCATTGTTCCAAACCTGTTTGAGTGGTGGATGAAGAATTTATATTCAGGAGATGCTGTCGACGAAGCATTGGAACGTCATGACCGTATCCATACGGGTAACGCGCTTTTTATGGCGTGGGAAGAACGTTTCCCTGCTGCTTGGAACCAACCCTGCCTCTGGTATGACGATCCATTTAACGACAATACCGGGACAACAACTTGTGAAGATCGTTTTTCTCGCATTTTCACATCGATGAATTCAGATAATAGTCAATTGACACAGTACCTAATTGCGGCATTTGATACTGAAACAATGGAAGTGAATCCGTCTGAAGAAATCTGGTCTTTGCGTATTTTGGCTATGCGGATTTCCCTACAAAATCCGTTTTCCTTTTTCGGTATTGATGAGTTTGAGGGCAAACCGGCTAACAACCAATTCTTCTCCGGCGAACTGTCCAATCCACGGCTCCGCTTGGAGCATCCCTTGGTGGGCTTTTGGTTAATTTGCTCCAAGTTGTTTGATTATCCTTGGATTAATAAGTTTCTGGTGGAGTATTACGACGACCCGCCATCCGCAATTGTTGACGCAATCAAACAAACAAGAAGTGGCAAGTCTATCAACAATGCTCCAAATCAAGAATCAGTGAAGGAACCGGATCCGCCTTGTATCCAAAAAATATACGATCCGATGTATTCTATTGACGAACCGGGCACGGATGTTCAACGCGAATGCACCAGCTCCGAAGGGGACCAGGTGCAAAATCCAAATCGCTTTGCACCTCTACAAAGTGATGATGACTCGTTTGAAGGTAGTGGAATTCAGGACTTCGACGAGGTTGAAGTGGTGGCGGTGAAAAAGAATGCCCCCAAGGCGCCTGAGTTGTCGGATGAAGACACTGAAGATGACGACACCAACGACAGGGAGAACATTGTGGATGACGCAATGGAGGAAGACGAGGATGACAAACGGGTCAATACCGCTGGGGCGAACCCGCATGATGAGGCCATGGACGACAACACTCTACCGTGGACTTCTTCTAAACTTACGGCAAAACAAGACTCAGCAGGTACAGGGACCTTTATGGAGCCCTCGGAATCAACTCCTTCTCGCGTTCAACGCCCCCCAACACTGGCCAAACGGATCTCGAACCTCATTCAGGTGAACATGGAAGGGATACCAGGCAAGTGTCACATCTTTGAGACAACTTTCTCCGTGGACTATCAAGGGTCGGATTCAAGAACTGTGGCGGAGGCGCTCTTGTTGACAGTTCTGACGTCCATGGAGGAAGCCATCAACAATTCCCCTAATGAATTGAAGCTTCTTCCAATCTCTGATACCACATATAAGCAACCGAATCTCTGGATTTGAAACTCAGTAGAATTACGTAATCGCATTTCGACTTATCGCGCTTTGTGGACTTACTGTGATATGGAATATGGTAACTGTCCCTATGCGGCAGCCAACAGCAAGCCGGGCGAGAAGAAACTACGCACACGCATTCGCGTCGGCTTCTCGGCTCAGGCCTCGGTCGAGGCCGTCCAAGACTATCTTCATACCGGCTTACGTCAATTGGGGAGAGGCGCTGGGTGCTACCCTTCTCCCTTGCAGTTTGGAGAAATTGTGAAGATCGGATCATGCTCGTTTATTCCTGCAGAAGTCAACTTCTCAGCTTATGCAAAGGAACTGATGAGACTATTTGATTTTGAAGTTCCAATTGGTATCAAGATGGACTGGGTTTCTATTCCGTACACGGGCCGAGCAAAGTACGACGAACGGTCCCCCGGAGTGACTAGTCCACATTGTTTCACTCGGAGGATTCATGCCAAGAGAGTTGATCGCACTTTGAGGTCAATTCTCCACCCAGCAACTGCAAAACCTGACTTTCCATTCGCAGCACCGGCCACCTACATCAGTGATTGGAAATTGGCACAACAAGGTTTGCTGAGTGTTAAGGCCTACGGTCCGGTGAAGGATGCGATCCTTACCTTGATCAGCAAGTTACAGGATTACTACATTTTGACGGAGGTTCTTTATCCAGGCATTGACTTCACGGGGATGTTCAAGTTTGCGACTACAAGGTTGTACGGTTCTTGCACCCTGTTCAAACTGCTCTTGTCTATCAAGGCCACTCCGGCCCAGGCTGATCAGGCTTCCACAGCTGCCAAAGACAGACCCCCGACACCTGCCGACGACGACTCATCTGAAGAGGAGGACGATGAATCCCAGGAGGGAGCGGGTTCCCTTTCCGGACCATTCACGAAGGTGACAAAGAAGAAGGTGAAGAAGAAGAAGTCGCTCAGTTCCAATAACCTAGAGAATCATTTTCTCAACGATCTATCCCCGGCACAACGCAAGCTGGCTGAAGCTACCGACCGCAAACTGAAGAACGATATTGATCGCCATAAGGCAGGACCACTCTTCCTGATGATCCTTCCTGGAGAAATGGAAGGCTCTTACATCTTCGTTTGCCGCAAGAAGTACGGTCAGTTAGCCCGAAACGTGACAACGCCTTGGCGGCTAAAGACCAGGCCCTGGCTCAGCAGAAAGCCGCGACGGCGGCTCTTCAAGCCCAACTTGACGCCCTTCAACGCCAGACAGCCCACCACTTGGCCATCGATTCGCAACCACCTACTCAAAACAATGAGGTATCTCCAGATCGGTCCGATTTCACTACACCACCAAAAAAGAGGAAAAGCAAGGATAGTTCCATGACTAAGAGGAGTGTTGACAGGTCTAAGGCTGGTCTTAAGCCGCCCACTAAGTCAACCCGTACCAGCACGTCTGTTCACTTTCAGCAGCCAAAGCAGCGCTCTCGGAACACGTCTCAGGTCCAGGTGGACACAACTCAGATGGAAGGTGATACTACGACAGCTGTGTCCCAGGACAAAAGCCTCTCATCTCTGACAGCGGCATCTCCGGGAGGTGTACACCCATTCTTTCTCCCTTCTCCATCTGGCAAATCTGGTACTAAATCTGCTAAGTTGCCTTCTTCGGCCGGCCGCGGAGCGCCTCGCTCCGCGGCAGGGCCATGAGAGGCCCCAGGTCGTCTGCCGCTAGGTCACGGCGTGCAGGCAGAAGATCTCGACTTAGTGGCCCGTCAAGTGTTGTTTCCCACGCTTCACTTGACGAATATTTACGTTCTCTGCCACCAGGAGACTGCCTTGGCGATGACCATCACTGTCGCTCTTCACTCGCTACCCGCGTCACCTTCCAGAACGTAAACGGTGTTCCGGAGGAAGGTGATCATGTGAAACAGCGGCAGATCATCTCCTGGCTGCAAGATGAGCAAGTGGGAATAGCGTTGTTGGCGGAGGCCAAAACGTTTTGGCCCTCTATCCCAGAGGGTCATGGGTGGAACGATAGGATGCGTCAAGCTACGATGAAGGCAAAGCACAAAGGTTTTTATTCAGCTGTCGCTTATAATAAACAAGAGTCACGATCTTCAGCAACTGCAGCCTTTCAATGGGGAGGATGCATCGCAACAGTACTTAGTCAGGTCTTACACCGAGCTAAAGAATGAGGGAGCAATTCGACGGGGCTTGGACGGTGGGCTTATGTTCGTCTTCAAGGGGAAAAGCTGAAGGCGCAGGGGGGTGATGATCCCTCCGGCTTGGTGCTAGACGTAAATGAGGCGGTCCGACGCCCGATCTCACGTGATCTAGTGGTTGTCTCGGCATATAGGCCAAACAGAGAAGGTACGGGGGAATCGACCGTGTGGGCCCAACAACGTCTATACTTTAACTCTATAAAACGTAAGTTTGATCCGCGCAAAGCAATGGTCGATGACCTGTGCAAGCAAATTCAAAAATGGAGGGACGAGGGTTGTGAAGTTTTGCTGGGGATCGGTGCTAGCGAAGACCTTTCGGTCAACTCCCCGGACTCCATACGACAGCGGTTTTGTGAGTGCGGAATGGAGGAAGCGATTTTGAAACGCCATCCTCCCATGGCGACCCACCAACAAAATCAAAGCAACGTTCCCATTGACGGAATCTTTACCACTTCAGGTGTTCCGGTTTTGGCTGGTGGCTACTACGCATTTGGTGAATTTGTTGAATCAGACCACAGGGCACTATGGATCGATATTGACTTGAACACGGCTTTGGACAATTTCACACCCCAGGGGTCTACCTTTAAACCTCGGAAACTCACCCTTTTGGATAAGCGGTCCGTCAAACGCTATCTTCAACTGGTTCACTTGGGATACGAGGAGTATGACATCCCGTCCCGTCTCACCAAGCTCAATCAGCGCATTGAATCTAATGGACGACAGATGTCACCCTCACTGGCACGCAAATATAACTGCCTTCACCGGCAGATGTATATGATACGGCGGCAGGCTGAGGACAATTGTCGCACTACCTCCTCTGGCAAGGTTCCTTGGTCTCCCAAATTGCAGGGCTTCTGGGATCGGTTGAGTCTCTGGAAGCTACTCCTTAAAGGACGCAAGCGATGTTGTGTGAGCTCCCAAAAGGTCCGGCGCCTGATGAAGAAGACAAGGCTGTGCACCGCATGGAAGAAGACGACTGCTGAACTGGAAGTGGCATTGGCAGCTGAACGACGGGCATGCAAGTAAGCCAAACGTCAGGCAACCCAATTAAGACGGGACTTTCTTACGGTCCAGACAACGGATGCAAAGAAGAAGAAATGGAAATTTCAGAAGGCCCACGATAGATTCCTTCGGTTACGACGAATGAAGCAACGAGAGGAGGCGAGGCGCCGTCGTCGCGCCCAACAAAAAGGATCTACAGGGGGTTTACGGGCTATTCAGATTGAAGAACAATTACCAGACGGCACTCCGCAGCTGCGTACTATCACCGACCGTGCTCTGGTTGAAGAAGGTT